GAGGGAGAGGGAGAGGGAGAGAAAGATGCGTGCATGCATACATGCAGATCTGCCCCTGCATAACTGCTGTGGATGTGCATGTGTCTGTTCATACATGTTTGAATATGTGTATAACAAACATATATATACACACATGTGTATATATATAGTAATCAAAATCTAAACAAAATAAATATATAAATAGATATATATACGTACATATATATACATGTATATATGGAGTTCTTCCGCAATATGCCAAACCATCACTGCAGGACACCCGGGGCTCGGAGTCTTCCCAGGCCTTCCCCTGTTCATGGCAAGTTTTTCCGTGCTGGGAGTATTAAATTGAGTTTGACCATTTCATGGAAGCCAGGTGCTTCAAAATTTTTGGTTAGTTATCGGTCTTGTGGTTTCTGGGATTTGGAGTCTGTGGTGTTCCGATTTGGCAGCTTGTCTCGTCCAGGCTTTCTGTAGCAGCTGGTAGCTTCGGGCTGAGTGCGTGGAAACCTACTTTACGGGAAGCGAAGATACCGTCAAGCTGTGGCGCACAGGGGCGTCAGGGCTTTCCCACACGACTGCGTCTCAAGATCTCGCTGCAAGGTGCGGAAGCAACTAAAAGCGCTGCAGATCCTGAAGTCTGAACACTTCCGGCCATTCATTCTCGGCACCAGGTGCGGATGATGCTTCAGTCACTAGACGCTCAAGTCCAAGACTGTCGCCAAGCAGTTGCCACTGGTCTGATTTGCATTTTTTGTATCCATGGAAAGCTCGAAGTGAAGCGACCAAAAGCCTTCAATCTTGAAGCCCAAATTGTATCAAGCATTGCAGACGCCGTAACAAATGGCCTAATGTCTGAATCTACACCATCGCAGCAGTAGTGGCCCCCAAGGCCGACGTCAGCCGCAGCCAGGCGCCAGCAACTCCTATGGGGCCGAGGATAAGAAAGTTAGCACCTCACAGGCGCTAAACCTTAACGAAACTTTTAGATGCTGTCCTCAATCCTGAGATGCTTCTCCTAATTGTTTCGCCTATTTGTGCCTTTGACATGTACACTGGGTGCCTCATCAAGAGCTGGTCATGTTTCAGTCTATAGCCCCAATCCCCTTAACCGCAAAAAAGACGACGTGCGGTCTCTCAACCTATTGAAGAGGTGGGCCTCCCAATTAGCCGGCAAACTTCGTGAGTCATCTTCGAGGTTTTGGATGCACGGTTGTTGCTGAGGCCCTAAATTTCCCTAAATGCTCTAAACCCTGTTTGGCCCAGACGAAGCAGACCTCCCCTGAAGGAGCGCCCCATGTCCTCGAGGACCGGGCTTGGCCTGGCCGACCTCGAGGTGCTTGGCGAGTCAGAACCGATGGTTTCTGCGTCCTCTCGGTCCGTGGGCTTCGATGACTTTTGAGAAATGTAAGATCCTCTGACTGTAGGAGCTTCACCTAGGGCCAGGCAGATGCAAGCCTTGGTCCCTTCAACAAGTGAGGGCGCACGATGTATAAACGCGGCGTGACAGCCAAAGCTACCTAAAATTGTAGGGCGCAGCAGATCACGGGCGTCGCAGTAGTCTTCCAGTAAAAGTGCAACAGCACATACAACGAACGAGTATGTAGTCAGCCTATGCGAAAGCATTGCGGTGACCACTTTTAAACATGTGGAGGGCGGGCTCGGGCCACGAGCCACGGGGGTAGTATAAAGTATCAATTTAAATCTCCGCATGTTTAGCTGTATGTAAGTACCTTATACACACGTGTTGCACGCACACATACACACACAAATGCGCACACACAGTTTAACACCTAACTGCGGCAGTTAGGGCGTTTTTCTGCCACCACTACATTCCACAGATTCATTCAACTCTTAATACCGTTGCAAATCCCTGGTCCGTCCTTCTCCTGCGTGGTGTTGTTGTCGTGGTCGTGGAAGAAGGCGTCCAGGATGTGCACGACACGTGTGTATAAGGTACTTACATAAATTTCAACATACTTCTTCGACGACTTCTTCGAAGGGTTTAAGCGCTAAAGTTTCCGTATATGTAAAAAACGGGCGGCCCCGCCCGACCCCTCCACAGACAGAGCTAGTACAAAGGATTTCTTTTATGTTTTTATTCTACTCTGTATATGTTAAAAACAGTCACCGTACACATATCATATGCGAGTGCAATGACATATATACAGTGTATGTATGTATGTATGTATGTCTGTATGTATGTGTGAGTCTGTGTATGCCAATCTCTCTCTTTCTCTCTCTACACATCTAATACATACGTAGCTACATACACACATACACACACATACACACACACACATACACACACACACATATACACACACATACATACATACATACATACATGCATTCGCATATGTATGTACATACAATGTTGGCATACCTGCAGTCAACTCAGCTAGGGAGGGTCATGCCCCAGTTCATGATATACCCTCCAACCCACCCCGTCAACATACATCATAACCATTCTACCCAATTATCCTATACCCCAAACATCCAAAAGACCTTACCAATACTCCCCCCTACGCTTTCAACCCATTTCTCAACCCGCCTAACAATTCAACCCTTAAATCCCTCAAAACACAAAGCACCTCCCAACAATCAACACAACAATCCCGAAACAAAGCAACCTACCAACCCAATACAATAATCCAAAACACAACCCAAAACCCAAAGCACCTAAACAAATCCTACCCTCAACCATAAAAGAACCAATATCCTAACATGAGGTGTGGGGTAAGACCCTAATAGAAAAAAACCAAAAGCCTATACTATCACCCCAAACCAAAGCCACCTAAGCAAACCCTAGCAACATCCAAAACACCTCACCAGACCAGCGCCACCTATATCTGTACCCTGATCTAAAACACCCCCTTACCAAACCACAAACTGGATATCTTAACGTCACCCTGCACCTTTACCTGAATACTTATCACTGTGCGGGCAACGGCTACACCAACTACTTCGGCAAAGCCTCGCGAAACCTGTGGGGCTGGCATCTTCAACGGAAGGCGTGCCTTGCTTGTTTAGTAGAAGCAATTCAAGCTCCCAATGTCGTGCAGTGCTATCGGCCTGTGGTTTTGCTGACAGCATCAACTGCTCTAACTGTTTCATCTGTGCTGCGGCCATTTTCAGAGAGTAGCAACGTTAGAGCAGGATGGACTTGTTCCAACTTACAGGATGCTGAGCAGCCGAGTGCGCTTGCGGGCAGCTGTGTGTTTTGGCTTCATCGGCGCATGGACTTTGTCGTTCGTCCCTCCGCTGAGCAAGGACAACAACATCGCCAAGTCCGTGGTGGCAGTGCCTCTGCTTATCGCTCAGACAGCGACGGCAGCCGAGACAGCGTCGGTTACGCCACAGCAGGCCGGACCAGTGTTTCCACCAGTTGCATTTGAGAGCCTCCTCTACAGCGCCGCGATTTTTTTCGTGGGTGCAGTTACCACAGACCTGATAAGCTCGTACATCAAGCGGATGAATGACACCAACGAACTTCGTTTCAGCAGCATCGAGGAGCAGCTGAAGGAAGTGAAAGCCACCATAGGCGAAGTGAAAGTATCTGTAGACGAAGTGAAAGCAAGCCTCGGCACCGCGACGACGGTTTTTCGTGCAATCCTTTTTGCAGGGCTTGGGACGGTCTTGGGACCGTTCCTTCTTAAAGCACTAGCCGTCGCAACAGCGGTGCCGTAAAACGTTGACCTGACACAGACCTACCAAATGCTGCGTTTGAAAAGGAGCTCGAAGAGTTGCCGATAGCAAGCATTTCAGTTCGGTAGCTGACCATTAACGGTGTTCATGCGGGATGTTTGCGCGACAGGTTGGTCAGCCTCCTTGGCGAGTGCGAGACAAAGCGAGACTGCTAGTGGCTGAGTTTAGTTTCGAGCTTGTTGGGGCTTGGATGTAGTTCAATGCTTAAAGGGTCCAAGGTGTATGGGGTTGTTAGGCCATATTTTGTACCGTTTCCTTCAAGCCTTCAATAATTGAAACTAAATATTGTTTCTTTTTCTGTTCGTCTGGTAGTTTATCTACTAATTCCATCATTTCATCTTCCAACAAACCACGAACATATAGTTGAAACATCAAACCTGTTGATTTAATGTCTTGATTATTCATAATATTGTCTGGATTGAAATCACCAACCAAACCAATTCTATTCATAAGGTCACCACCATCTTCTTCTTGTGATTCTTCATCTGCTCCATCAATTGGTTCTAGTTCAGGCATGTCATCATTATCAGAAGCCATTGAATGAACTGGAACACCTGCTGGTAATGACTGTGCATGAACGTCAGCTAAATCACTACTAGCACTACTGACAGCCCTATCTCGCGCATTTTGCATTCTCTGTGTATAGGCTTCAATGTCCGCTTGAACTCTGGCTATATCCTCAGC